TATTTCTAAAAATTGATTCTATATTTTTATGTGGTTTATTTCAGACCTTTATACTCATTATAAAACTACTGATCTAATAGTCTATGGTATAAGAATAATTAAATAAATAAACCTTGCAGAAAATGTTCCAAGTATAGTTAGATATTTAAAATATGCAGTATTTTTAAATTATGAGAAAATATTTAAAACTGATGTCAGATCATAATTATCTGTTAGAAGAATGAAACTTTCCCTCTACATCTTGCCTTTGAAAATACAATCCAAAAAGATTAAAATTTAAAATTGCACTTGTGTAGCTAAGTTTATGTTAGAAAGAACAGGTAGGTCAGTAACTGTATCTTCTGGGTAGAGGAGCATGGTGTAGAAATGAGGTAGGAGCATGTCACTCAGTACATGATCTTTAAGAAAAATGCAGAGAATATTGTTTTAGTTAATTTTCTGAGAGCTGTGACAAGATGCCTGACGAAAGCAACTTAAAGAAGAAAGGGTTTACTTTGGCTCACAGTCTGAGGGTATAAACCATCATTGTAAGGAAGTCATGGCAGCAAGAGTGTGAGACATCTGGTCACATTGCATCCATAGTTATGAGGCAAAGGCAGATGAATGCTGGTACTGGGCTTCTCTTCATTCTGTCTGGAACTCTAGTCCATGCAATAGTGCCACCCAGTTAGAGTGAGTCTTCCCATGTCAGTTAAAAGTCGTGCTCAAAACTTCTCTCCTAGGTCATACAAAGTTGACAATATGAACTACCACAAATACCTACTTCCAAGAAAATATTTTCAAATAAACAAGAACTTAAGGCTTTAGGGGGGAAAGTGACACATAAATGAATTCTTGGAAAGGAAGGGGGAGCTCTCAGAGGAGCAATTCCAGTGAAATGCCTTGCAGATAAGGCCCATAAACCATTAAGATGTAACTGAGGGCCCGTGTTGCTGCTGTGACAAGGGAGAGAGGCAAAGTGGCTATGACTGGTACAATGAGAATTAGCAGGTATGTGACAGGAGCTGGTGGTGATGTTTTTTTGTTTTTGTTTTAGTTTTATTTTTGAGACAGGGTCTCCCTGTAGTCCAAGATGACTTGGAACTCACAATGTAAAACAGGCTGCAGGATGGCATAGATCTCACAGAGATCTGCCTGCCTCTGCCTCCCAAGGGCTAGGATTAAAGGTATGCATCACCAAGTCCAGTGTTAGAAATGTTGCTCTCTTTTAATGAATTCTGTCCCCTATGTAGTTAGAGACTCCCACTGAGAAAGATGAGCAGGCCATTTTTTAAAGCAAAATATACATACTATTGACATACACAAAATCACATGCAAACAGCCTGGTGATGCATGATCATAATCTTGACAGAGGAAGATGCAGGTGGATTTCTGTAACTCAAGGCCAGCCTGGTCAGTGAGTGCCAGGCAAACTAGGGCTACATAGTGAGACCCTGTATCAAAATGAAGAAGAAAAGAAAAAAGAAAAACCAACCAAATAACAACAACAACAAACCCAAACAACAACAAAAAACAAAATACACCAAATATGCAAAGTCACATATACTTTCACAGACTGGAATGGTTTTAATCTCATAGATACTATCGCTTAAATCACCCATATGTCCCTATGACACAGGGACATAATGTGTCAAAGTTCTGAGTTACTTGTTTATGAAAACTCATGGATGGTGTGGGGAGTCATGAGGTAACTTCACTCAAGTAGGTGCCTCTCTTAGTTGTTTTGCCTTAGGCCTCTCTTCTGAACTTTGTCTTCTGAGATCTTCAGGCACTTTTGGTACTTGATATGACCATACACATGTCATGGCTACTTCTCAATTTATGTACCACCCACAGGCAAACAAGCCTGCTGGAGACTTTCTTTTTGTCAAACAAGCAATGTTTGTCTG